GAACACCTGAATCACTGTGTGAAGCCTAAAGCGCAAACTCAACTGGCTGACCTACGAAACCTCTACCATGTCGCACCCTACCTCAAAAATAAGGACCAGCAGATCTTCCGGTCTACGAGGCCTCCTTGCCTCCCTGTACTCCCTCTCTCCTGATCTCTTCTGTCCTCTCGTTCCCGGTCCTACATGTCCTCTAATCGGCGAGCGATCCCTACCACCTGATAAAACAAAACATCTGACTCTCACTCCCAAACCATGCTGAACCAAATATCATGCCTGAGCCCATCGGTGAATCTACAGACTCGCTCTCTAACTGTAGCGACCAAGGCAGGTGCATGTTTGGCCAAATCACTGAATCTGACGGCATACTCTAATACTAACATAGTGCCCTGACGCAGCTGCTCAAACCCTGCACGTCATGAAGTGACTGAGGTACAAAATCTCTCAAAACATCTCTGAAAACTGAACCCATGTAAGTGAAGCTGCATGGGCCGGGCTACCCAACTCATATGCTCGCCACCACTAATAAGCCGCTTCCTTAAGCTGGAACGTAGTAATAGCAACCCCACTCGTCTTAAAATACCCATAGTACGGAGAATGCGATGGCACTCCTCTATAAACCTCGTGCGCTCTCAGAAGCCCAACCACTGAATGTAGGAGGGTCACATTTTCTTGAACCTTGCAAATCTAAGCTGCCCTTCCTCAGATGTTGTTGCGCTGACCATGGGATGAACTGGAACCACAAGCTAAGTCGCCATGACACCTGGAACCTGACCAACGTGAACTCGCTGCTCTGGAGGTGCTCTAGCTGCGGCACGTACTCCTCGTCGACCTCTGCCTCTGCCTCTGGCGACACCTGCTCCGGAAGTAGCGTCATCGATAACTGCAGCTCGTGTCCTCACCGTCAGTAAGAGAATGGAATAATAAAAGTTCAAATTCCGAGATCAATAAGCTCGCACGATAGGAATTAAAGAAGTGAGATTGTCCTAATAGTTCTGTAGCCTCTCAAAGATAAGTACAGACGTCTCCGTACCGATCCGCAAGGCTTTACTACACTCGCTTATGACTCGTAGCACCTATAAATCTAGAGCTCTAATACCAGCTTATCACGACCCAACATTCCCTCCGATTCAGTATCGTGATGGCACCTAGTCTTAGGGACTAGGTAAGCCTATCTCATACTGAAATACACAATAATGAATGAAATTTAACAGCCTCAAAGCAGAAATCTCTACTAAATTTATAATTCCCAAAACCCAATAGTACAAGTCATAAGCTCTACAAAGTTCGCTACAACTTCTAAATACAACTATTTGGAAACGAATACAACAATGTGAGTACAAAATAGGAAGGTGACTCGGAAGCCTGCGAACCCCGCAACAGGTTTACCTTGAGTCTCCTCGTCAAGAATCTACTCAGCTACTAACGATCAATACCTAGATCTGTACAAGAAAATATATAGTAGTGTAGTATTAGCACACCACAGCGGTGCCCAGTAAGTATCAAGACTAACCTCGGTGGAGTAATGACGAGGAATAGTCAAGACACCAACTCGTCTAATAAGCAGATCAAGTATAAGAATAGAACAACAGAACATGATATCTATATAAAGACCACGCGATATGGCTTATAATACAGTAACTGCAATAAGGAAAGAAAACAGCAAGTAACAGCGGAACACCATAGTAAAACACAGAAAAGTGAACGGAAATACAGTCCATTTCCAAAATCACAAATACAGTAAAGACAAGTCGTAACTTAGCAACTACGGCAGTTTTAACATTAGGTCATATCCAACAAAATTCAATCAATTAGTCAAATCCTGCAAGTTTTAAAAATATTTCAAAATATACTTCCTTCAAATAAATATTTTTCAAATATAGTTCTTTCAAAATAAATACCTTTCGAATATAATCTTTCCAAGTAAATAACCTTCGAATATAAGTCAGCTGAGACATCTCATCTCATATCCATAGAATACAGGTCTCAATACCTGAACCCTAAAACTTGGCATCATATGCCCTCATCACACCTCATAATCATACCAACAACTCACGTACCCAATAGAGTCATTCTCACATGGAAGGCAAATAAACAAGGGTGTACGTCTATACTCAGCAATACCAGGAAGCCTCTTATCCGATAAGGGTGCTTAGCCACGTGTATGCATGTACAAGTGTCCTAATATAGTTCGTACCAGCTAGTAAGTACAAGGAAAAGAACGGACAGCACGTAGAATGTTTAAAAGAATGTTAGCATAGAAGATCAGCAGCTCAGAATGCAGATATAACAAAAGGGGATCTCCCAGAATACCGTCCCGTAGTCCCAAACGTAAATATGCAGGGGGTCTCCCAGAATACCGTTATGTAGTCCCAAAGTAAATATGCAGTGCTGGGGGATCTCCCGGAATACTGTTCCGTAGTCCTAAAGTAAATATGCAGTATAGGGGGATCTCCCGAAATACCGTTCCGTCGTCTCAATATAAATATGCAGTACAGGGGCATCTCCCGAAATACCGTTCCTTAGTTCCAAAGTAAATATGCAGCGCAACCAACAGAGATAGCAGTTACAACACAGCAGAAACCTCGTGCATCACCGCAAAGAGTACAACAGCAACAATGACATCAATACAAAGTACGACAAGTGACCACTCAAAAACTTTAAACCACAAAGAAACGGTATAAGGAATAACCACAGTAAAGGATGCTAAGCGTAAAGAGAGTAGTTCAACAAGGCAGGAACTAATGTGCCACAACGATTCCACAATATACAGTTCGGCAACAAGGAAAAACCAACACGAGTCAAATAGTTCCAAATAAGGGCATGTCAACTCAAAATGAGTTATCTAGACTTCTTTTAAGGTTGGGCAATTACGAAGAATATTCAACACACCAATTAATTCTATGAGTGAATCCTCAGCATTTAATTCTAATTTAAGCATGTAGATGTGAATCTAGCAGAAAAGAAATCAGTCAAATCAAGAACAACTTTCTACACCGTGAGTATAAGGACCTAAGAATCCTAAAAGGCCAACTATCCAAAAATAAGTCCGAGCACGCACTCGCCACCTCACGTACATGGATTACAATCAACATAGATGACTTAAATCCTTACGTAAAATCCCCCACACAATGTTAGGCAAGATACTTACCTCAAAGACGACAACCCGATACTAAAAAATGAACTTCTCGGGTGCAAAGACCTCCGAACGGCTCAAATCTAACCAAAGTAACTTCAAACCACAAATAAAACTCATGAGAAACTATTCCGCATCATAAAGTCTCGATCTTTAACAAAATCAAAAAATGGGTCCAAAATTCGACCCCCGGGCTCGCACCTCGGAACCCGACAAATTTTACAAAAACCGAATACTCATTCTAATACGAGTTCAGTCATACAAAAATTATCAAACTCCGATACCATTTGGTCCCTCAAATCATGATTTTTCATTTTAGAAATTTTCTTCAATAACTAATATTTTCCTCAACTCAAAACACAAATTAAATGATGAAAATGAAGAAAAAATCATGGAATATGTTAGATTCTAGGTGAATAACACTTACCCAATCGATTTTCTTTAAAACCCCCAAAAGAAGCTTTCAAATCTGAAGTTTAAAACTCAAAATATGAAGAAGTGACCAAACCCTCGACTTATATGATTCTGCCCAGCAATTTTCGCATCTGCGGGCAATTAAGCACATCTGCACAATCGCATTTGCGAGAAAAGAGTCCGCATTTGCGAACTCAGCTAACCATGCCTGAGACCGCATCTGCAGATTTCCAGCCATACTAGCGGTACCGCAGAAGCGAAAGGGGAAACCGCAGAAGCGAGTTTAATTGCAGGTGCGATCGCTGGACCGCAAAAGTGGCCACCGAACCTGCACGCCAGCCTCCGCAGAAGCGAGAAATTAACCAGGCCTTCATGACCAAAGAAGCAACCAAGCTCACGCAAAGGCGGAGCCGCACCTGCACTCCAAGGTCACAGGTACGAAAACACCAGAACCAGACCTGTTAACAACTGTGCAAAACATCCGAAACCCGTTCGAATCACACCCGAGGCCCCTGGGACCCCGTCTAAACATACAAAAAAGTTCTATAACTTAATACAAACTCGCTCGAGGTTCAAATCACATCAAACAACGCCGGAAATGCAAATCGCGCCATGAATCGAACTATGAACTTCCAAATCTTCCAACTTCGAAAACTCATGCCGAAACCAATCAAACCAACCCGGAATGACGCCAAAGTTTGCAGACAAGTCCCAAATGACATAACGGAGCTTTTTCCAACTCTCGGAATCACATTCCAACCCCGATATCACAAAAGTCGAATTCTGGTCAAGTTCTCACCGCTTAAGCTTCTGAAACTAGAATCCTTCTTCCAATTCGACTCCGAATCCTCCCGTAACTGAATTCAGCCGTGCATGAACGTCGATACACATAATATGAAGCTGTTCAAGACCTTTTGCCATCTAACGGAGCTTAATTTCTCAAAATGACCGACCGGGTCGTTAGAGATTAGAGCTTCGGCACCAAAAATTAATGAGAACGGTGCTTCTCCGTTACTGGATTTCAATATTGTATGGTACGCCCATAGAACCTCGGGCAGTATCTCTCTCCACTTCCCTTTGGCATCGGGCAATCTCTTCTTAAGGTTCTGAATGATGGTTTTGTTGGTCGATTCGGCTTGTCCGTTCCCGCTGGGATGATAAGGCGTCGATAGGATCCTTTTGATCTTGTGATCCTCGAGAAATTTTAGTTACTTTGCTGCGGATGAATTGCTTTCCAATATCACATACGATCTCGGAGGGCATCCCAAATCGAATTATGATGTTATCCCAAATGAAGCCTATAACTTCTTTTTTCTCTGACTTTCTCAAAATCCTGTGCTTCAACCCACATAGAAAACTAATCATTCAAAGATAAAATAAATTGAGCTTCACCTGGGGCCGATCGAAGAGGGCCGACGATGTTCATTCTCCATTACTTCACACAGTGTGTATGTGATGCATGCAAAATGATTGGAATCCCCTTTATATAGTAAAAGAATTTTGCTTATGGTACAATTCTAAATACAGAAGGAAATCCCATGATTGACTAAATAACTGGTCTTGACTTGATACCTGCCGAGATTTTTGCCACGATCCTTGCTCGGTCACGGATATCTCGATATTCTGCTATTCGATTAGCAGGCTTCCTTTGATCTCTCTCAATCTCCATCCCACTTCGGTCTCGATCAAGGCTGGGCTCGATCTTTATCGGTCATCGATTCATGAGCTAAACAATCCTTCTCCGCGCCATGTTCCGATACAACACGGGGCCGAGCCTTGTTCTGCCACCCCGGTTCTAATTAGCCATACAAAATTATGCAAGCCCGATTTTAACCGTATACAAGCATATACCAAAACACTGATCCTCACTCACATATGGCACTTTTTATGGATGAAGTTCTCTCTTCCGTTTCTCTACAATTAAAAGCAACAATTATTTGCCAGATACATGTCAAAATGTAAAAGGATAGCCCCTAAAAAAGACATACCTAGTCCCACAAAGGATATGAAGGAGTCGCAAGAAGCAGGGATTAGGCCCCATTAATAAAGCATTAGTCAAACGTGGTATTGAGAAACATAATGTGATTTAGATTTAGAGTCAGATAGTAACAGAATAAGAGATAAGTAATTGACAACTATGTTAAACCTGAATTTCCTCATAAGTGAATTGAATTTCCTCATAAGTTTCACTTCTTCTTAGCAGGCGATTATGCCTGATGTTTGGTGATACAAAAGTTTGTTGTTGGCAGAAAACACTGCCTAATGTCAGTTATCATTTCACAACATACCCTTAATAGCCATTAATTATACACCACTTAAATGTACAAAAGGGGAAAAAAGAATGCAGACAATAATAAGACCATAACCAAAGTACACCAATATTGTGGTACTGATTGTTACAAACTTGATACAACTGTTATCAAAATTTCCACCACTTAAACACAAGAATGAAACATAACCAAAATCATGAAAAGAGTCAGAGAAACATGTCAATTTTAGAATAGCCATCAGAAAATTCTAGTACCTTCTACTGTACTTGGACATAGATGATCTTTTGTAGATGATGAAGAACAAAAGGGAAAATTTCAAGGCGTATTGCCTTCAAAATTTCTCAAACTCTGAAATAACACCGTCGTTCGAGGCAACGCAAGCTTAATTTGAGTGGACACGCCAGAGCAACATCGTATCTGTTCTTGAAGGAACTGAAGTAACATGGAAGCAGAAGAAAGGTAAGATTACCATATTTGCTTTTGGGGCTGAGGGGCGGCGGCTTCGAAGAAGAAGAATAAATAATTAGTGGTACGCGTGGTTTGCTTATAAAAGAGGAGCAATTACACGTGTTATTAGCCCAATCAAAAGGCTCCAAGTATACAATTCATTCACATAGCTATTAGTACAATAATCAACAACAAAGTTCGTACACCTTGTTCATTTATATGTACTAGACTAGACTAGACTAGTAAAATTGAATGCTTACATTTTTGCATGTGGTATTAGAAGCAAAAATTTAACAAGTAAAGATCACTTTTGGTTCTTGATAAAAGAAACTAATGGAAATAACTGGGAAGATGATAAGATAATAGAAAAAATATACTGGAATAGATGTAAAAGGAACTGAAGCTGAAAATACTATATTATTTTTCTGCATTTGGACTACAATTTATAAGAGAAGTACTAACTTAAAAGACCTAAAGATCAGCACCAAATATGCTGAAAATAACTAACTCCTAGAGATTAGTTCACTCCTAAAGACTAGTTCAAAATTATTTCAAATTCAAACTAAATTATTGCAGTAAATAGCTGAAACAGTAAAATAATTTTACTGAGAGCAGCTTCTAAAGCATATTTCTAACACTCCTCCTTGCTTTTGAAGCTGCAAATTTTGAATTTGTCCCTTGTAAACCTTTAACTGGAAGCGACATTGTACGTAAAATCTGCCAACTGATCTTTGGACTTGCAGTGAATCAAGTTCACTTCTGTATTTTGCTGCATCTCATGATTGTTAATGAAATAAGTTGGCTCGTTTTTCAGCTTCATTTGCATCTTGCCTTGAGACTTGTCAACTTTCTTCCAGAATTGCATTTTCTGAAATATTGACAACTTCTTCCTTACCTTATTTTCACATATGTCCTCAGTTGGAGAATTACCTGCACTTAGTAGATTCTTTTGGCTCCATTCTTTATCTTCGGTTGGATCAAATGAGAAATTTTTACCTCTCATTTTAACCCTTAAAATCTCAAGTCCAGTTGCATCATAAATGAAACAATATTTATCTTCAAAGGATACTTTAAATCCTTTTTCCATTAGTTGTCCAACACTTAATAAATTTTGATCAATATCAGGAACATAAAGAACATCTGAAATTTTCTTAATACCTGAATTTGTTGGGATTGCAACAATTCCTTTTCCTTTAGCAAGAATATAATCACCATTTCCAATTCTGACATTCTTATTTCCTATAGACGTGAACTCTTTGAAAAGATTTCTGTCATATGTCATGTGGTTTGTACAACCACTGTCAATCAACCAAAAGTCAGATTTTTTGGTTGAAAGAATAGTTGCCACAAACAAGTGATCTTCTTCTTCTTCATTGGCGACTTGGGCATCTGCTTCATGCTTTTGATATTTGCTTTTGCAAATTACAGCTTCATGATCAAGTTGGTTGCAAATTTTGCACTTTGCATCTGGCTTCTTCCAACATTTGAATGGTGGATGACCTTTTTTGCCGCAATGCTGACAAGGCGGGTAATTTTTTTTTACATTATTACCCTTGCTTTGAGTTTTGTGGTTGGCTGCCAGGGCTACCATCTTGCCTCATAAGCCTCATTTGCTCTTGTGCCTGCAATGTATTTAACAATTCTGCCAAGGTAATCTTGGATAGATCCTTTGTATTTTCCAAGGTAGTTATGGATACTTCATATTTTTCAGGCACCGTAACAAGAATTTTTTCAACAATTCTTGAATCTTTAAATTCAGTACCAAGCAATCTTACCTTGTTAACAATGCCAACCAACCGATCTGAGTATTCTTTGACAGTCTCAGATTCCTTCATTTTCTGCAACTCGAATTCCCTTATTAAATTCAACACCTTCATGCCTCGTATTCTTTCATCTCCTGTATATTCTCCCTTCAGATAATCCCAGATTTCTTTTGCTGATTTGAGAGCCATAACTCTCGTGAAAATTGTTGCATACACACCAGCAAACAAAGTTGCTTTCGCCTTCGATTTCCTGGTTTTCTTTTCCTTGTGACTCTTGATCTGGGCCACCGTGGGACTGTTAGGCAGCGGAAGAACATCATAATCCTCTTCCACGGCCTCCCAAAGATCTAAAGCCTCCACGTAAGTCTCCATTCTCACTGCCCACAGTTGGTAATTTTCACCATCAAAGACTGGAGGAGCCAATTGAGAAAAACTCATTTCAGTCTCCATCTCACTCAAGAAAAGATTTTACTTAGGTCCCTTAAGAAGATGACTCTTGATACCAATTGTTGGTTCTTGATAAAAGAAATTAAGGGAAATAACTGGGAAGATGACAAGATAATAGAAAAAATATACTGGAATAGATGTAAAAGGAACTGAAGCTGAAAATACTATATTATTTTTCTGCATTTGGACTACAATTTATAAGAGAAATACTAACTTAAAAGACCTAAAGATCAGCACAAAATATGCTGAAAATAACTAACTCCTAGAGACTAGTTCACTCCTAAAGACTAGTTCAAAATTATTTCAAATTCAAACTAAATTACTGCAGTAAATAGCTGAAACAGTAAAATAATTTTACTGAGAGCAGCTTCTAAAGCATATTGCTAACAATCACTGGTTTAGATAATGATAATATATCTTGTTCCATAAAATTAAAACATATGTACCATATAAGTTTCATTTCAAGTGTATGATTTAACCATCATAAAACACATAATGAATTATTTTATTTAATAGCTCTTAATATACATGCCCATTAAACTAATCACTCGAAATTTTAACTAGCTTTTATCAATATTTTTCTAGAAAAAGATAACATATCTTTTGTACAAGAAAATTTTAAGAACTCTCTCCAGATTTACTGTTGTAATTCGTACCTCCCTTATTTTGTTTTATTAGACAAAACTTTTTAAAATGATAAGATTTATGCAATATTGTTTAACCTAAAATTTGGTTATAAGTCAAACAATTAAATTTATATTTTAGGACACAAGCAAAATAATTAATTCAAATTGTGTCTATCCTTTGATGATGAGGATATAATGAAAATAATAAAATAAAAGACAACAAAGTAAATAATCTAACGCAATCAGTAAAGTTGTTAGGGCAATAATCTTACTCAAGTCCAAAGTTGTCTTCTCTTCAAACTGCAAGCAGGATATTGTAGCTAGGTAAGCTAGGAAAATAGACATTAAGGCCAACAAATCCATTGGTAAATATATGAGATTCCCTATATTCCACAAAAATGCCTACCAATAGGAACTTCCAATTCATCATAGACAACATGCAGACCAAACTGGCAGGCCGAAAAACTCACTTCATGAACATGGCTGGGAGAACCACTCTTGCCAAATAATCTCTTGGTTGAATCTCAAGCCATGTTATGCAATATATTAAGCTACCTGCTCAGGTGAGCAGCCAAATTAATAATATCCAAAGAAAAATCATCTGGGAAACCACAACCGCAAAAAAGAAAATGCACCTAATTGGTTGGGATACCATCACCAAACCTAGAGAGGAAGGGGGACTTGAGGTTCATAGAACTGACCTAAGAAATAATTCCATTCAAGTTGGGCTTGCTTGGAGAATGTATAATAACCCAAACGCCCAGTGGGCTAGAGTTCTGTTCCACAAACATTGTACTAGCAGACAACGTACTAGGCACATGGCCTCTAGGACCTAGCGTAGCATTAGGAATGGGTGGAAGGTGTGCAGTAAGGCTAATAGGTGGATTGTCAACAAGGGGGATAGAGTCAACCTTTATAATAATAGATGGATCCACAACATGGAGCCACTTAGAATCTTGGTTAATGGACCACTAAGCAGGGATGAAGAAACCATGAAGGTTTTCTCTTGCATCCAAAATGGCATTTGGAACACTACCAATCTCTCAGTCGCCCTTCCTGATAGTGTTATCAATAGGATCGACTTCACTATCTCCAGTGCCAACAATGCAAAAATTGTTAGAATGTTATGGAACCAAACCCACAATGGGTTGTTCACAACTAAGTCTGCCTATTCAATCATCTTAGGGATAGATACCATTAGGAAAATGACCAAGAAAGGGGCTTCAATTGGATATGGGCTAGGAAAGTTCCTAATAAGATCAAGTAAGAGGAATCCATTGAGCATGTCTTCACCAGGTGTGATAATGCTAAGTTATTTTGGGATAATTTTTCACAACTAAGCCAGAACAACATTAATATCCAATCCTTTGCCAATGGCCAAACTAAGTGGGAATTGATCACTAACAGACTGCACAGTCACAATTTTAATAGCCTACTTAGGTGGGGGCAGTTGATCCCATTCTGTCTCTGGGAAATTTGGATAACTAGGAACAATAATTTTTTCAATAGCAAAAGGAACCCTGTTTCATAAATGTCATAGCTAAAGTCATAGAGTGAATTTATGTAGCAGGAGGATGTCAGGGAAAACCTGACTTGGTCATTCAGATCAAATGGCACCCCCTAAAAGGGACCACTACAAACTCAACACTGATGGTGCAACACTTCAAAATAAACTGGTGAGAGTCCTGGGCGAGATTATTAGGAATAGAAGGAGGGGACTGAGTAATGGCCTTCATGGAAAAAATAACCTGTACTAACATACTACAATGTGAACTAATAGCATTGATGCAGCGCTAAAGATGGAGATAACAAATAACCTTATTCCTCTTGAGGTTAACTTGGATTCTACTAAGGTAATTAATAGTATCAATAAAGGTAACCTAATTTATGACAATTTGATATGTGAATGCAGGTCACTCCTGGTAGAACTGGGGGATCCACCAGTAAGCCTTGTCGTCAGAGAAGCAAATAGAGTCGCGGAGAATCTAGCAAAGGAAGCAGGGAAGTGGACTGAAGTGGGTAAAATATTTTTGGTAGTTTCTCCGGTGTTTGTCAATGAAACACTATGGAAACACTATGGGCAGACACCTGTCATGACCCCAACCCCGATCGTGATAGAGCCCAACACACTGCTAGCCAAGCCCGACCAATTTACAACCTTAACCCTATTCATTATACAGTTCATTATTAGCTAACACAATTAAATTACCAAATGAGCATATCAGAAGTATGAAATAAGAGTTAAATGTGCGGGAATTCAAATAGCAATACTACTACATAGCCCAAAAGATCCGGTGTCATAAGTCTGAGCCTCTAATACATAAGTACCAACCTAATACATAGCAATCTAGAAAATACGGAGGAAACAAGAAGATAAAAGGGAGAGATCAGGACTGCGGACGCCAATGCAGCTACCTTGATGCTCCCGGATATGCCCTGCCTAACTGATAATCCTCAACAGCCTCAGATGCACCTGGATCAGGACGCAAGGTGCAAGGAGTAATGTGAGTACTCTGACCCAGTGAGTAATAAACATAAGCAAAGGCTGAGAATGAGAAATCCTAGATAAACACATTGTAATCTATAATACAGCAACTTAAACCCAATAGTATGAAATCAATAAACCAATGAAGTAGAAACATGGCAAAGCTACAACGGATAAGCAAAATAGATGATAACTAAATAAAGGAATGCAGCACAAAATACGGTACTCTATAGTACCCGCTGCGGCGTGCAGCCCGATCCATTTATTTGTCGTCGACGGCACTCACTGGGGGTGTGCATACTCCGGGAGGGGCCCCTTACGGCCCAAGCGCAATATCAAGCCATCTCGTGGCATCAGCTAGGCCCTCGGCCTGGTATCAATATCAATATAATACTGCTGCGGCGCGTAGTCCGATCCATACTCAGTCCAGAAATCACATAAGCCCCTCGGGCCATAGTAAAATAGTAGTTCTCAGCCCAAAAAATCATTAGAAATTTTATTTAAGTTTCATATCGGAGTAAACAATAGGACTGACTCAAGTAATATGTCAAAATAGTGAGAAAACAGTCCCCGAAGGGTTCAAATAATTGGCATGAAGCCCAAATATGACAATTAGTCAAATAAAATAATGATACCAAACAAGCTTCAATCAATTACGCGGTAAGAACATCACTCAGGACGGACCAAGTCCAAATTCCCAATAGTAAATGACCTCGCGCTCATCATCAAGCGCGTGTCTCACCTCAATATAGCTCTACGATGTGCAAATTCGGGTTTTCAAACCCTCAGGACATCATTTACATTCATTACTCACCTCAAGCTAGCCAAAACTCTAGCTCGCTATGCCCTTGCCTCTCAAATCGGCCTCCTCGTGCGTCGAATCGGACCAAAACCAGAGCGAATACGTCACAATATGCTAAAGGAACAAAACCCAATCGAAAACAATCGAAAAATATCAAAAATCCCGAAATTAGCAAAACCCGAGCCCCGGGCCCACTTCTCGAAACTCAGAAATTTTCACATCTACGGGTTCCTTATCTCGCCATGAGTCTATACATATCAAAAACTCCTAAATCCGAGCTCAAATGCTCCCTCAAATCCCAATTTAAAATTCAAAAACCCAAGCCCAAGTTCTTCCCTTTTCAGTTAAATTCTCATGAATCCCAAGGTTAATTTCAAAATATAATCGTGTTTTTAGTTCATAGAACTTACCTCCAATTAATCCTCTTCGAATCCCTCTTCAATTTCTTCCAAATAGCTCTCAAGGTGCTAAAAAATGGTGGAAAATGACTTAGGTTCGCGGAACAAAATGTTTATAACTTCTGCCCAGTTCCAGACATTTCCTCTATGCGATCGCGGCCCTAGGCTCGCGATTGCGATGCACAAATTTCCCAGGTCTCAAAATTGGCCTATGCGAATGCGGCCAAACGAATGCGATCGCGAAGCTTCAGCTTCCCCTCTTACGCGATCGCGGCTCCGCTGATGCGAACACGAAGAGAAAAAAACTCAGGCACCCAAAATCCTTCTATGCGATCGCGAGGGTCCTCCCGCGATCGCGAAGACTAAAATCCTGCTACACTGACTGCTGCATTTTCTGCAACTTCCTAAGTCCGAAACTTCCCGTTTAGCCATCCGAAATCACCCCGAGGCCCCCGGGACCTCAACCAAAAGCACCAACGCATCCTAAAACATCGCCCAAACTTGTTCCAATCATCAAAACACCTCAAACAACCCTAAAACTATCAATTCGCATCGAATTCAAGCCTAAGTTCTTATGAAACTTCTGAAACACGCATTCGATCAAAAACACAATCAAGTCACCTCCTATTAACCTGAAATTTTGCACACACATCCCAAATCACCTAACGAAGCTATTGCAACTCTCGGAATTCCATTCCGACCCTCGGATCAAAATCTCACCTATCAACCGGAAATCGCCAAAATACTAACTTCGCCAATTCAAGCCTAATTCTACACCGGACCTCCAAAACCACATCCGATCACACTCCTAAGCTACAAATAACCCCCGAAGCTGACCGAACCATCGGAAATCATATCCGATCCCTCTAACACATAAGTCAACATCCAGTTGACTTTTCCAACTCAAGCCTTCTTAAAAGAGACTAAGTGTCTCATTTCCTACCAAAATCAATCCAAACCAACTCGATTACACAAGACACTGATAACGAAGCATAAAGAAGCAGAAAATGGGGGAAACGGAGCGGTAACTCATGAGACGACGGGTCGGGTCGTCACATCCTCCCCAACGTAAACAAACGCTCGTCCTCGAGCGAGTGAAGAAACATACCTGAAGCCTCAAATAGGTGAGGATATCTGCTCCGCATCTCCCGCTCGGTCTCCCAGGTAGCCTCCTCCACGGGCCGACCTCTCCACTGCACCATCACTGAAGCTATATCCTTTGACCTCAACTTTCCAACCCGTCGACCCAAAATAGCCACTGGCTCCACATCAAAGGTCAAATCATTATCCAACTGAACCGTGCTGAAGTCCAACACATGAGACGGGTCCCCAACATACTTCCGGAGCATAAAAACATGGAATACTGGATGCACACTCGACAAGCTGGGTGGCAAAGCAAGCATATAAGCCACCTCCCCAATCCTCCTAAGTACCTCAAAAGGCCCAATGAACCGCAGACTCAACTTCCCTTTCCTTCCAAATCTCATAACACCCTTCATGGGCGAAACCTTCAGCAAGACCTTTTCACCAACCATGAAAGACACATCTCGAACCTTCCGGTCTGCATAACTCTTCTGACGCGACTGCGCTGTACGTAGTCTCTCCTGAATCACCTTCACCTTCTCTACGGCATCTTGAACCAAATCTGTCCCCAATAGCCTAGCCTCGCCGGGCTCGAACCAACCAACTGGAGATCTATATCGTCTCCCATACAAGGCCTCATACGGTGCCATCTGAATGCTGGACTGATAGCTGTTGTTGTAGGCAAACTCTGCAAGTGGCAAAAACTCATCCCATGAACCTCCAAAATCAATGACACAAGCACGCAACATGTCCTCCAATATGTGAATGGTACGCTCGGACTGTCCGTCCGTCTGAGGATGAAACGCTGTGCTCAACTCCACCTGAGTACCCAACAGTCTCTACACGGCTCTCGAAAACTGCAAAGTAAACTGAGTACCCCTATCTGAGATGATAGAAACCGGAACACCATGCAATCGAACAATCTCCCGGGTATAAATCCCCGCCAACCGCTCTGAAGAATAGGTAGTACACATAGGAATGAAGTGCGCCGACTTGGTCAGCCGATCAACAATCACCCAAATAGCATCAAATTTCTTCAAAGTCCGAGGAAGTCCAACAACAAAGTCCATAGTAATCCTCTCCCACTTCCATTCGGGAATATCCATCTGCTGAAGCAAGCCACCAGGTCTCTGATGCTCATATTTCACCTGTTGACAATTGAGACACCGAGCCACAAATCCCACAATATCTTTCTTCATTCTTCTCCACCAGTAGTGCTGCCTCAAATCCTGATACATCTTCGCAGCACCCGGATGAATATAATACCGCGAGCTATGGGCCTCCTCCAGAATCAACTCTCTAAGCCCATCAAAATTGGGCACACAGATCCGGCCCTGCATTCTTAACACACCATCATCACCAATGGTCACATCTCTGGCATCACCATGCTGAACTCTATCCTTAAGGACGTGCAAGTGTGGATCATCATATTGGCGCTCTCTGATGCGATCGTACAAGGAAGACCGAGAAACCACACAAGCCAACACTCGACTGGGCTCCGAAATATCTAGTCTCACAAACCGATTGGCTAAAGCCTGAACATCAACTGAAAGGGGTCTCTCCCCAACTGGAATGTATGCCAAACTCCCCATACTCACTGCCTTTCAGCTCAAAGCATCGGCCACTACGTTGGCCTTTCCTTGATGATACAGAATAGTAATATCATAATCCTTAAGTAACTCTAGCCATCTCCGCTGTCTCAAATTAAGATCCTTTTTCTTGAACAAATGCTGAAGACTGTGATGATCAGTGAATACCTCACAAGATACGCCATACAAGTAGTGCCTCCAAATCTTCAGTGCATGAACTATGGTAGCCAACTCCAAGTCATGAACAGGGTAGTTCTTCTCATGGGGCTTCAACTAACGAGAAGCATAAGCAATAACTCTGCCCTCCTGCATCAATACACAAGCAATCCCAACTCTCGAAGCATCATAATATATGGTATATGAACATGAAGCTGACGACAAAACCAATACTGGAGCTGTAGTCAAAGCTCTCTTGAGCTTCTGAAAGATCTCCGCACACTCGTCCGACCATACAAATGAAACATCCTTCTGAGTCAACTTTGTCAAGGGCGATGCAATGGATAAAAATCCCTAAATAAATCGGCGGTAATAGCTTGCCAACCCAAGAAAGCTGCGAATCTCTATGGCTGAGGACGGCCTAGGCCAACTCGGAACCGCCTCTATCTTCTTTGGGTCAACCTGAAAACCCTCGCTGGACACCACGTGTCCCAAGAAAGCCACTGAACTGAGCCAAAACTCACACTTGGAGAACTTTGCATAAAGCTTCTCCTCCCTCAATCTCTGCAATACCACTCGTAAATGCTCCGCGTGCTCCTCCTGACTACGCGAGTACACCAGAATATCATCAATGAAAACAATAACGAACGAATCCAGATAAGGCCAAAATACACTGTTCATCAAATGCATGAACGCTACTGGGGCATTGGTCAGCCTGAAAGACATGACAAGAAAATCATAGTGACCATATCTAGTCCTGAAAGTAGTCTTAAGAATATCTGAATCCCTGATCTTCAACTGGTGATAACCCGAACGGAGGTCAATCTTGGAGAACACCCTCGCTCCCTGGAGCTGGTCAAATAAATCATCAATGCGAGGCAGGGGATACTTGTTCTTAATTGTTACCTTATTCAATTGCCTATAATCGATGCACATTCTCATTGTGCCATCCTTCTTCTTTACAAACAGAACCGGCGCACCCCAAGGTGACACACTAGGCCGAATGAACCCCTTATCTAGGAGTTCCTGAAGCTGCTCCTTCAATTCTTTCAACTTAGTTGGTGCCATACAATATGGCAGAATAGAGATGCGCTGAGTGCCCGGCACCAGGTCAGTACCAAAATCGATGTCCCTGTCCGGTGGCATGCCCGGCAGGTCTAACATCCCTCACAAAAGCAAGATACAAGAGACAACCCTTCCCAACCATACGCTGGGCCTTCAAGAAAGAAATCACTCTACTCGGCACATAGTCAGTCACACCATGCCACTCGATCCGCGGTACACCCGGCATAGCCAAAGTGACTATCTTAGCATGACAGTCTAGAATAGCATGACACGGAGATAGCCAATCCATGCCCAAAATAACATCGAAGTCCACCATGCTTAATAGCAATAGATCAACTCGAGTCTCCAGACCCCCAATAGACACAACACATGACCGGTACACACGGTCCACGATAATAGTGTCGCCCACCGGGGTAGACACATGAACAGGTAAGGCAAGAAACTCACGGGGCGCACCCAAATGATGAGCAAAATATGAGGACACATAGAAATAGGTGGAACTGAGATCAAATAATACAGAGGCATCTCTATGGTAGACTGAAACAATACCTGTAATGACAGCGTCTGAAGCAATGACATCTGTCCTTCCTGGAATAGCATAAAAACGAGCCTGGCTACCGCCTGATCGACCTCCCCCTCTGGGGCGACCCCTGTCTGCCTGATCTCCACCCCTGGCTGGCTAGGCGGGTGGCGAAGTAACTGGGGCAGAAGTCGAGGGCTGACCCCTCTGCTGAAGCTGACCACCACGAAGTCGAGGGCACTGCCTCCTCATGTGACCAAACTCTCCGCACTCATAACAACTACCCGGTACTGGAGATGGGGACTGAAGGGAACCCATCACACCGGAGTGGCTAGCAGATGTACTCGGCACAGAAGAACCCTGAGCTGATGGGGCATGAGATGAACTCTGAGCTGGGAGGGCACTGAGTGAAGATTGGCCCTGCTGAGACCCATGATGACCACGGCCTGAAGATGCCCCACGATACTTTGGACAGGCCGACTGAGCAGGCCTGAAAGAACGACCTCTACTATGCTGGAAGTGGCCCCTCGAACGAGCACCACTGTAACTGCCCGATCTGCGAGGCCTTTTGGCCTCCCTCCCTCTCGCTCTCGACGGCGAACTAACTCAATCTCACGAGCGATATCCACCACCTCCTCAAACGTAGCACCCAATACTCTCTCTCTAGTCATCAGAATACGGAGATGGTCCCTGCACTACCTGCTCAGGTATGCGAGCAACGGGGGTCTGATTGCCTCCCCCGGCCTGCGAAGTAGTTGCTGCTATGGTGGCTGAAACTGCCTGAGCTAGGCCAATGCAAACTGTCAAGATCTGAGCCAATGTCTACTGAAGACCCGGAATCACTATGGGCACAGCTGGTGCCTGAACTGGTGCTGTTGGAGCCTGATCCGGAGCTGGGGCAACTGGTGGATCAACAGGTGCTGCCCTCGCTACTCTGCCTCTGCCACGACCACGCCTGCGTCCCCGGCATCTTGTGGCCTCAGTGGGTGGTACTGGTGGTCGTCCACCTCGTCCGGTAGCTCGTGTCCTCACCATCTGTGAGAGAATAGACTAATAGAAGTTTAGTCCTCAATTCAACAAAGCCGCACGACAAGAATTTCAAGAATGTGAAGTTTTTCCTAAAGGTTCTACAGCCTCTCGAGGATAAATACAGACGTCTCCGTACCGATCCGCGAGACTCTACTAAACCGGCTCATGACTTGCGAGACCTAGTAACCTAGGCTCTGATACCAACTTGTCACGACCCCAACCCCGGTCGTGATGGCGCCCAACACACTGCTAGGCAAGCCCGACCAATTTACAACCTTAACCCTATTCATTATACATTTCATTATTAGCTAACACAATTAAATTACCAAATAAGCATATCAGAAGTCTGAAATAAGAGTTAAATGTGCGGGAATTCAAATAGCAATACTACTACATAGCCTAAAAGATCCGGTGTCACAAGTCTAAGCCTCTAATACATAAGTAACAACCTAATACATAGCAATCTAGAAAATAAGGAGGAAACAAGAAGATAAAAGGGAGAGATCAGGACTGTGGACGCCAATGCAGCTACCTTGATGCTCCCGGATATGCGCTGCCTAACTGAAAATCCTCAAGAGCCTCAGATGCACCTGGATCTGCACGCAAGGTGCAGGGAGTAATGTGAGTACTCCGACCCAGTGAGTAATAAACATAAATAAAGGCTGAGAATGAGAAATCCTAGATAAATACATTGTAATCCATTATACAGCAGCTTAAACCCAATAGTATGGAATCAATAAACCAATGAAGTAGAAACATGGCAAAGCTACAACGGATAAGCAAAATAAATGATCACTAAATAAAGGAATGCAGCACAAAATACGGTACTCTCTAGTACCCACTGCGGCGTGCAGCCCGATCCATTTATTTATCGTCGATGGCGCTCACTAGGTGTGTACAGACTCCGGGAGGGGCCCCTTACGGCCCAAGCGCAATATCAAGCCATCTCGTGTCATCAGATAGGACCTCGGCCTGGTATCAATATCAATATAATACTGTTGCGGCGCGCAGCCCGATCCATACGTAATCGAAGAAGTACATGCCGAAATAAACTCCACAAGTTTAACCTGGGATTGGAGGAATAAGTACATCGAATACCTAAAGAACGGGAAGCTAATCGGATCCTAAAGAATCGAGGACTCTACGCACGATGGCCGAATAGTTCTCATTGGCCGAGGATGGAACACTGTATAGGAGAATGTTCGATGGACCGTTAGCGAAATGTTTGGTACCAGGAGACACCGACTACGTTCTACGGGAAATTCACGAGGGCACTTGCGGAAATCATTTCGATCCCGAATCATTATTTCACAAAGTCATCAGAGCAGGATACTATTGGGCCGATATGGAAAAGGACAATAAAGAATTTGTTCGAAGTGCGACGAATATCAAAGGTATGCGCCGATGATCCACTAGCCCGGAGAGCAACTCCACCCAGTCATATCCCCATGGCCGTTCACGAATGGGGGATGGATATCATCGGCCCTCTACCATCGGCCCCAGGTAAAGCTAAATTCATTTTGTTTATGAATGACTATTTCTCTAAGTGGGTTGAAGCACAGGCCATCGAGAAAGTCAGAGAAAAAGAAGTCATAGACTTCATTTGGGACCACATTATATGCCGACTCGGAATGCCTACCAAGATCGTATGTGACAATAGAAAGCAATTCGCCGGCAGCAAAGTGACAAAGTTTTTCGAAGACCACAAAATAAAAAGGATCCTGTCAATGCTGTATCATCCTAGTGGAAACAGACAGGCGAATTGACGAACAAGACCGTCATCATAAATCAGAAGAAAAGATTGAACGAAGCTAAAGGAAAATGTAGAGAAATATTGCTCGAGGTCCTTTGGGCATATCGAACAACGTCGAAATCCAATACGGGGGCAACGCCATTCTCTTTAGTCTATGGTATTGAAACTCTGATACTGGTCGAAGTCGAGGAACCTGGCTTCATGTTTTGGAATGCAACGGAAGAGTCAAATTACGAGGCTTTGAATATAAGCCTCGAATTGTTGTATGAAAGATGGGAAGCCGCCCTTGTTCGAATGGCCGCACCGAAACAGCGAATCGAGAGGTACTACAGCCGAAGAGCCAATCTTCCACACTTTAAAACCGGGGACTTACTTTTAAGAAAGGTCACCCTCAATACTCGAGATCCAAACGAAGGAAAACTTGGCCTGAACTAGGAGGGACCGTATCAGGTCCTCGATATCATAGGAATGGGATCCTAAAAACTCGGCATGATGCATGACGAGTAATTCAGGAAGTTGCCCTCGTTTGAATGGCCGCACAGAAATAGCGAATCGAGAGGTACTACAGCTGAAGAGACAATCTTCGACACTTTAAAACCGGGGACTTACTTTTGAGAAAGGTCACCCTCAATACTCGAGATCCAAACAAAGGAAAACTTGGCCCAAACTAGGAGGGACTGTATCAGGTCGTCGATATCATCAGAAAGGGATCCTACAAACTCGGCATGATGCATGGCGAGCAATTACCATACTATTGGAATATATCACTTCTCAAACGATAATGCTAAGGTACGACCTTCTCCATTTTATTTACATTTTATAATAACCAATTGCAGGTGTTCAACCGAGTACATCAAAGTATTTTTCATCACAAAGTCCTTATGTCTGAAAGCACGCGTTGCACTCTTTTTCCCTTAGACTGGTTTTTGTCCCAAATGGGTCATTCCGCCAAGGTTTTTAATAAGGCAACCATTGTTCGTGCTAACTTAGAGCAACTCAACAGTATCCACGGCTTCTTTAAAATCAACCTCGAATACTAGGGACATCACCCTCGGATGTTAACATTGTTACAAGGAAGGTACTTGTGTCAACATGGTCTCTATAGGTAAAACTTTGTAAGGGCCAAACGGTCAAACGAACCGTGCCCATTTAGATCACTCGAGCCCAAAAGGGAAACATGTACGCATGTATAATCAATTGAGAGAAGCATTTTTCAAATATTTCTTGCCTTAAAGAAATTTTTACTTTACAATTCCATACTTTTGATCTATTGTGGAAACAGGCTTAAGGGTCGATCATAACTGAAGTTCAAAAAACTTACCCCATACTCGGGGACTGCCATCCGAAAAATCGATGAAATTGAACTACTAAAACCTTGAGATTATAAGACCTTAAAAAGGCAACCCTCGTTTTTTATAGGCCACGGCCACCCCACTCGGGGACTGACACTTCGACCAAGTTCGAAGTGTAACCGGGGAAATAAGCCCAAGAGGCAAATGCCAAGTTAAAGGCTATGGCCAAACCACCACGGTTTGGAGACATCCGAATTCTGTAATAAAATAGGCCTTCTAATATCTTCACAAAAACCAGTTAAAAGGGCTACCCTCGCCAAAATTATAAAGGGTTTCGGTAACATCAATCCTCGAAATCCCTAAGGGATACAAAATTCTTCAAACTCTTGAACAACCTTATTTCATACTAAGGCATAACAAATCTTTATATGATTAACTTTCTTAAGACAAAAAGGGAAAATAGCCATTCTTTTGAGGCCATATCAGCCTAATTCAAGAGTTTAAGGGCCGTTCCATTTTTTGTGTTAGAGAATTCATCCTCACTCAAATAAAACCTAAGGGTCATCCTATTTCGAGTTCGAACAAGTACTCTGTCGCTTATAAAAACTACACTAGTCCGACTTCGATCAAATTTTCCAAACCTCGTACTTAAGAAAATTTTCGATACGTGGACGAAACAAAATTTGCACGAGGCAGAAATTGAAATAAAGACAAGTCAGAGAGAAAAGAGATCTTTTATATATATGAAAATATTCATAAGGACCGATCAAGATCCTACAGAAAAATTCATAAAATAAAAATCCTAAATGTCTAATTTTCCTCGGGAGCTACATCTTCGCAATCAGGATCTCCTCCGCTCTCAGATCCACACACGCTCCCGGAATCATCATCATCAGAAGAGAGCAATGTTTTGGCTTCAGCCTCAAGCTCTTTTGCGTTCTCAATCTCGATAGAAAGATTATATCCACGAGCATGAATCTCCTCAAGAGTCTCTCATCGAGACTGACACTTGACATGCTCGGCGATCCAAAAGGCTCGATTTTGAGCGGGCTCGGCAAATTCTCTTGCTTGGGCTTGAGCGGCTTCAGCATCAGATTGGTAGACCGCCACGATCGCCTCCGCGTCAGCCTTTACCTTTTCTACCTCAGATTTAGCCACTGCAAGTTCGGTGGCCAACCGAGCCTTGAGCTCCTCTATTTTCTTGGCTTGGTCTGAGCTTTCCTCCTTCATGCTTTGAAGCTGAATTTGGGCTGATGATAGTTGGGTTCGAGCAGCATCTTTCTCCAAGGCAATGCGGTCCATGTTGTGTTTCTATCTCAAGGTCTCCGCCCTAATCATGTTAACTTCTTCACGGAGCTGTTCGATCTTTTTGGCCTTCTGTTGAACCTGTAAAATTAAAGTATTAGTCATCGTCCTCGAACTGGTACATTGAGCTTCTAAGATTTTCATTACCTGCTCAATCAGGTCGGTCTGCTCTTTATGAGCCGTGGCCAATTCCGATGAGAAGTTTGAGGGCATTTCTCTCCTCCATGGGCCTTTGAAGATCGGCCTCGCATCGGCTCAGCTCTGCTCGGGATTTAAAAAATGCATCCCAATGAAGTGTGGAGGCCTATGCAGAAAGAAGAAAGAAAATTAGACAAGAAGAAATAATTACAAGTGAGATATCGATGAGGGGAGTTGAGACTTACCCGACTCAGGAGTCGTTGAGCCTCATCAATGAGACTCGATGCCTCATTCAGGTCGGTAGCATCTTCAACTCTTATAAAGTAACTACGGAAAAGGTCCTCCCCTCCATGGGCTCCTCCCGCATAGGGGTCCCCATGGCCTGGGCTTCCTGAATTCCCACCCCCCCCCCAAAAAATGTAGGGAGGGTTCGGCTAATCGCCAATTTCTATTGCCCCAAGCAAGCTACTTAGGGCATTCTCTTCATTTTGAAAGGCCTCGGAGCCAGCCCCTTCAACCATATCCCCGATTGCTCATTTCGGCAGGAGGCATCTTTAGCCTCCAACGACTTGGAACTTTGCTCGGGCCCTCTTCCAAGATCTCCTCGGATCGAGGCTGAATCTCTTCAACCCTCACTGACTCAGCGGCCTTTGGGGCCTCGGTGTTTTTCTTCACTCGGTCAACCAGCTCAGAGCCGTCGTCTTCATCTTCTTCTTCTTCCTCTCTTAGTCGCTGAACTACATCAGCAGCCAGAGGGACGGTCTCATTCTTTGGCTTACGAGCCTTACTTTTCTTGGACTTTGGGTCCTTGGAGTTCGAGACCCTTTTTCTCTTTTTATCTTTCGCAGGTTCCGGGGCCGGGGGCGAAACCTCCTCCTCCCCGGATGGAGGCCTCATGACAGCATCTTGTCCGAGGCCTGTATGAAAGGAAATCATGTGAGCATGAAAAGAAACATTTTAGCGAATAATCATCAAAAATGTGAAAACGGGCTTACTATGATTTTTGGCCTCCCATCGGCCTCTTGCCAAATCACGCCATGAGCGCTCAGCGTACAAAGAGGTCGAAGCTAGGTCCTGAAGCCAACTGTCGAGCTTAGGAATGGCACCGGGCATCCAAGAGACCGCGACATCGTAGAAAGGGATGTCGATGAGAAGAAGCAAAGGAAACAAAACAATAAATGGAAGCTATAGGTGGGATTGTACTTACGCTTTATATTCCATTTCTCGGGAAATGGCATCTTCTCAGTTGGGATTAGGTCGGAAGTCTTCACTCGAAAGAACCGGCCCATCCATCCTCGATCCTTGTCCTCATCTATGCTCGAGAATAGCACCTTGGTAGCCCGACGCTGAACTCTTATTAACCCGCCTCAATAGATACCCGGGCTGTATAACCTAATGTGATGGTCTAGGGTGAAAGACATCCCCTCGACTTTGCTCGCAAAGAATCAGAGCAGAATAACAATCCGGCAAAAAAAGGGATGGATTTTACCTAGGGTTATTTGGTATTGACGGTTAAAATCGATAATGACGGGATCGACAGGGCCCAACGTGAAAGGGTAAGTGTAAACACTTAGAAACCCTTTCACATGGGTAGTGATGTCTTCTTCGGGGTGCCGGAATCACCACTTCTTTATATTCCCAATGGCAGTCTTTCTTTACCTGCTCGAGGTCACTCTCAGTTATCGAGCATATATATCTCGACATTGGCTCGCATCGACCGGGGACCGATGAAGTTTTCTCGACATTGAAGTCAGAAGTAAGGACACCCCCCCCGAGAACGCACTCCTCAAGCCGCGGTGCCACCGGTGTTCTATTACCGGCCGGCCGCGATAAAGAAGCTTTTTCCTTTTGAGGAACAATTTTCGACGTTGTGGCCATTTTTGTGTGAGATTGAAGAAAAGAGGAGATGACAGGACTTGGTGTTTGAGAGGAGATTAACAATAAACCCTGAGAATTCTGAAGAAAGGAGGGACTTAAGAGGTGTAAAAACTTCAAGAGATTAGAAGAAAGTGAAAGTAAAAATTGATTCAATGGAAGAGGGGGCCTATTTAAGGGATTCACAGCGACGGTTCAAAGGCATTGGTGGCTGACCACCAAATGACGCTCATTAATGACTTGGGGTACTGTACCGACGGGATGTTTCAATCACTTCCGCCTCTTATGTCACGAGGATGACGTCGTGACAGGACAAAGTACAATCGAAGGCTTAATTCATTTCTTATCATTACATTCCAAGAAATAAGGGGACTATCGCATACGGTTAAAATCGTGCCTACCCGATTCTACTATTTGATTAAGACCAGGGAGTTGCATCAAAGGTCGGCCTCGTAGTGAATCGGATCGGAGCACGAGGACAAGGTACCGAGTTCAAGAATCGAGGTGCCTGTCGAGATCGAGGCCAGTAGCAATCGAGATCAAATAGGTCAGACGTTGAGCAAAGTGCAATAACAGAAAAGTGAGATATCCGTGACTGGTCGAAGATCATGGTGGAATCTCGGAACAGATCAAATCAAGGGCGGTTGTTTATGTTAATCATGGGATTTACTTCCATAATTAGGATTGTAGCATAGATAGGATTCATCTACTATATAAAGAGGGTTCTAACCATTTTTTAAGCACCTTACATTCATGCATATCAAAGTAATACAATACTTTTTGTCCAACTTATACTCTTGTTCATCTGCTAGTTATATTTGTAAC